TGTATGTGTGTGTGTGTGTGTGTGTGTGTGTACAGTATCATTTATATAAGGCAGACATTTAAACAAAAAGTGCAAAGTCAAATCTAAGGCTCTATCAATCTAAATCCAAATCTATTCCCCTGCTATTTATCAATTCATCCATCCATTTATTTATTTATTTGCCTATGTAAATCTATATGTTGGAAGTGAGCATTCCTCTGCTTTCCACATTTAGGCTGGTCAGGTAAATGAATTGCTAGTCAAACCAGATCACATTGAGCTCTCTGAGGAGTGTCAGGAGGTGAGTGGACTCACTGAGGAGACCTTGACAGAAGCTGAACCGCTTGAGGAGGCCATCGAACAGGTGATCATTCTCATACAATCTGTTCTGACAGGCTGGTATTTATCTTTTTTAGAACGTTCCGTTCAAAATACATAAAGATATTTGCATTTGAGAGTGGATCCTTTCAGAGGACAGTTAAACTTTCTTTTCTAACTCGCTTTGAGGGAGGGTCTGCATATACACCATTTAGTGGCATATCTTTACACACTATTACATGCATTATTTAACAGCTTGTGGATTGATATTTGCACAAGCAGCCTTGTGGGTATGTATTAAATGGCACATAAAAGTGGCGTTTACTCAGAGTGTCCATGTGTGCAGTTGAATCAGAGGTTATGTGCAGAAGTGGACGCAGGTGCAGGAAACACCTTCTACCTCTGTACGGATGGACAGCTGCACATTCGTCAAGTCCTCCATCCCGAGGCTTCCAGCAAGGTATCAAACTCTAAATACTGCAACTGAGCAGGCGATATTTATTTATAAGCTAAAAATGTATAAGTGCAGTTGTGTTTTCTTGACTGCTTGCTTTTGTGCTTTTCAGAATGTTTTGTTGCCTGAGTGTTTCTTCTCATTCTTTGACCTGCGAAAAGAGTTCAAGAATAAATTCCCATCAGAAGGGGAGTTGAAAGACTTGAATCTTCAGGTCATGGCTGACTGTATCCTTAAAAAAGGTCATGATATCATTTTGTGTGTTTTTTGTAAGACTTAAATGGATGAGAGTAGATTATTACACATATTAGTTGATAATTATCTGACAACCAGTGTGAGGAAGTTGCATTTGAGTGTGTATGAGAGAGAAAGATAGGCAACAGGGTGTTGGCTGCAGGATCCCAAGGTTTTGGAATGCAAATAGACTCACAATAGTGTGGGCTCAATTGAGCCAGCAAGAGAAAGCCAAGAGTGTTTAGCCAACAAGCTTAACCTGCCACACCTACGCTGTAACGTCTTAATACACACACACACACACACACACACACACACAGTCAAACACACAATGCAATAGCACAGCCCTCTGCACAGTAAGAAAGGTTAATCGAAAGTCATTCTCTCCCTCCATGTTTCTATTGTGCCTTTATGGAAGACTGCTGTGTTTCAACGGTCCTTGTGCGTTTATAAACCCTGTCCTAGTTGTTCTTTTATCTTTACTGTGTCATTAAATGGTAATTATCACCAGTAACACTAAACACAGACACTGTATTCCTTGACTGCGGTTGCGATCAGACCTAAATATGGTTGTAGATTCTTCTCTTCATGCTTTCACTGCTCACAAGGTTCGGCAGATGTCAGAAATTGTTTTAGCACTTATCTCGGAGCCTGTCTGTAAGTCATTATAACTTGCATATTATTGTCTGAACACATGAATGTAATATTCAGAAGTGTTTTTGTTATGAACCTGCTTTATTCGTCTTCATAGGCCACCAGTTCTCCTTCCCAGAAAAAGTGAATGACAAGTTTGAGACTGGCACTTGGTAAGAGCTGTTTCTTATTTAAACTAAACTAACAAACAAATGTCTGCAACTGTGTTCTAATTATTATTTTTTGCTAAGCTCCACTTTAATATATAAAATAAATATATAAATTAATAAAATCACAGAAAAGTCATGGGATTTTCTATACATTTTTATAGTTACTCATTAAATTTTTTAAATTACTGTTTGTGAGTCTAATTTCTATAAAATGAATCATAAATGACTATAAAATGGAAATTGAAGATGTTGCGTGTTAAGTTTAAATGTTTACATGAAATTTTATGTTGCTGGAACACATAATAGTGATGGCTATAATTCGGAGAGGATATAAGTATTATTGAGTATTTTAATATAAAGTTTTTTTTTCTTTTTCCTAATATTTTAATAAACCCTGAGAAGTTCATGCTGTGAATTAAATTCTTATTCACTAATGAACATGTAATAACTATTACTGGTACACGAATGTTACAGTAGTTTTATTTATCTGTTGAGATATTGAAGTTTTTATTTGTATTTAGAAGTATTTATTTAAAGAAAACATCTGATAAAATGCTGTACAATGTCACACATAATTCTAGCCAGAGTACATTTACTGGAAATCATGCAGGTCACCGAAATCTCTTGTTGAATCCTGTGAGAATTTCTGTAAAGCTTAAAGTAGTAGTAACCAAGGATGTAGAGCTTTAACAAAGGGTCACTTGATATACATTTTTGCCTTGCTACTGGTATAAGCTGGTGTGACACATCGTTTAAATTGCATGTATGTGTGTGTATAGCAGTAAGATGGAGAGGGTGGATGATAACACAGTGATCAGAGCTCGGGGTCTTCCATGGCAGTCCTCAGACCAGGACATCGCCCGGTTCTTCAGGGGTCTCAACATCGCCAAGTATGCACACATAACCTGCAAACCACCCATAGGCAGCACTTATTAATAAGTGATTATCATTCAGTCTGTGCACAATGCCAGTGTTTCTAATGAATTACTGCATGTGTGTGTTTGTGTGCGTAGAGGAGGTGCAGCGTTGTGTCTGAATGCTCAGGGCAGGAGGAACGGAGAGGCACTCGTGCGGTTTGAGAGTGAAGAGCACAGGGATTTGGCCCTGCAGAGACACAAGCATCACATGGGCACCAGATACATTGAGGTACACACACATTCATAAAGCTATTATATTAAGTATAGTGTAATACTAAGTATAGAAGTTACATTTAGTACCCAGATGAACAAAAGTCCAGTTACTATAACCTTTTTTTAA